TACACTGCTATATCTTAATGTAGAGGAGAATGAAAAGACGAGGACAGAGCATTCACCCCATTGCAGCATGAAGTTTATTTTGTCCTTAAATTTCTTATACTCATGTATTAGACTAGTTTTGAAGTGCTGTAATTACAATTATGCTCATTATTTTAATGATTATATTATTTTAGTATATATAATCATTTATATTTTTGACATCTTCGTAATATTGTGGGTATATTTCACAGTCCAGTACAAGCTGTTTCCTCATTGGACATCCCAAAGGAGCTGAAATAACCTGACCTACACTATAAGGCATACATATTCATAGACCTGGAACCTGCTGCATGTTGTATGCTGGTGCTAAATTAAAATGGGTCCCTCATGTTTGGAAAAGTAATATTATTAATCTAACCTGGCTTAATTAAACCATTATGGAAACTGCCTTGAAGCTTGGTGTTTTCAGATTGCAGGAAAGATGCTTTTTATATGAAGTGCTTTGTTAATAGCACACTAGTGTTTTTCCCCTTAAATATCTTAGTATTGAGCGCCATACATCATATCAAGTGTGTATAATTATAATACATACTGTGGAATATTTTCTTTGGCTGTCATTTTATAGGAAGATTAAAAAAAGTCAGTATATCTATGGATGTCAATTAGACTTTAATGTAATTACATGTGTATTGGTAATACAGATGAGTCAAATAATGCAAACAAACAGGAATGTGTTGATAGGAAAATTGTGGACTGTGAAAGTGGTAAACTTCAGTGACAACCCCAAACTTTTAAAACAAAAACATAACAGTCATCCTTAGCTTATCTGAGAGAATCCAAAGAAAGAAAAGATTGAAATATGTCCACTGAAAAAACATCAGAAACCATTGTCTAGAATAAACCAAAGTAATGCAAAAAGATTTGTCATGAAGGTTATCATATTTGACAAATATATTTTTCATGAATGTTGCTAAGACGAGGCTAGATTTCCAACAATTATAGCTTTAAAAAGTTATAAAAATTCTGCACACTGCAGATTTTCATACAATTTGATGGAATTGCATGCTGTACATCTGTTTTATTAAGTTAGGAGTTCTGCATGGAGAAATCTTGAATCACATTTCCATAATTAGTTAACCTCAGAACTGTAACCTTAGGGTTGTAACTATGTCTATTGTTAAAAAGCAATTACAGAAGATATAAATGTAATTTGTGAATTTTAAAAAAGCCACCTTTGCCGATTATCCAATACTTCTTGAATTTAGTTATGAGATTATAGGAAGATAAAGGGGCATTGCTATTTTACAACAGAACTATTACTGCAATGCTTGTTTAATATTATAACAATTATTAGTATGACCTAACTGTAATTCTGACTGCTTAAAATGACATTTTGAATTTTCTACTTGAAAGATTAAAACATTTTTGCAAACCTGAAGAACAATTATCTTTACTACAAAGCTTTCTTACAAAAACACTTGGTTATTTCTTTTTGCTATATTCTCATACTCTAATATCATGTATAAGCAAAGAGCTGAATTCACTTTGTTAGGCAACAAGCAACTCGGAGAAGAACTTTCTTTACCTGCCCCAGCATTATTCCTGTCAGGTCAACACACCGTTATGGAGGGAGAGAAGAGACGAGGATGCCTTCCTCCAAAACGTACAATGCTGAACCATGCCTTATAAAGCTTTTTAAAATTTTACATCCACACCACTTTGAATGATGTGTTTACTGTACATCTCGGCTCACAGCACCAGCTGCTGTAATGCACGGGGAACAGGTGTTCTCCTCTGACCTGCCTGCCAATTGATCCATTCACATTTGACCATGTTAGGAGCTCCACAGCACCTCCCAGAAGAGCTGGGCTGATCAGAGGTGCTATGCATCTCTCTCTGACATCGCTGCAGGCCTGCAGCTTCATGGGGTGTTTTGCTTGGAAAGGTGGCGATATTTTGGCTGACCCAAAGCGGCCAAACTGTGGAGCACTTGATCAACTGTGCACAACCCAACTGAGGGTAATCCTTATCTCACTGACTGATGACCGAGTCTAGAATTAAACTGAAAATAGATTACGGGATTCCAAACACCCAATAAAAGAGGACTTCGCTGGACTTCGCAACTCGGGGGGGCTGCTCCACAGTCATTTGAAGAGGTCTGGACGGGGAGTTCCAGGCATCCTACAACATTTAATAAGAGGACCAAAATTGGGGGGGGGTGGGGGGAATAAAATGCATTCCCTAGAACCCCATAAAATTTTAACTTGCAGCCTAGCAACCCAACCCTTAAATATGTTTGTCCTGTAATTTAAACAAACCCCTTTGCATTTTGACGTTTTCATATTCTTACAGGAATGTGCTTTAGTTTAAGATGATTATGCACATGAATTCTCCTGCTTTCTGATACAAGGCTCAGAATATAGCACATTTTCCCACTGCACCTGTTCTTTAGTCAAATTAAACCGTCTCAGAAAAGCGTCTCAGAAAAAAAACAGTGTTCTGTACCTGAAACATGAAAGAAGATGGTTTTGTGTACAAAAGTTTCAGCTCAATCCCAAAGATGCTAATTTAAGAAAGTCTTTCTTATTGAACAGCAGCATATGTAAAATACTATAATTAACTCCTCAACCCTTAATCCTTTAAATTATCTGTGTGGTACAACAGTCTTCATAAAAGAATGAAATGATACAAAATCACAACAATTTAAATTCTTCTCCTCCTTTACGCAGCTCGAAGCTCTGGAATACTTTAGGCACTGCTGCATGCTGGCCAGAATTCATGCATACATGCGTTTGGCGGTGGTACAATTAAGCAGTCCTAGGTGTGTGCATGGAACATGCTGTGCTTACAGCAGTGTTGAGCTCATTCCTCTTTTCTCCCATGTGGTTACTCATTTTATTCCAACTCTCATTTTTCACTTACAAATATAAAAAAAAAATTACCAATTGCAATTCCTTCCTAAAGAAAACAAAGCATTTACTTTTAACACATAAAACACAATAAATCGTAACCACTATTACAGAACCTCCTGGCCTGTACCATATGCAAATGAGACGTGCTCTGCTGCATGTTGGGAAATTACCTATGAGATAATGACATGATGCAGAACAATACAGTCATAGATCAGAGCACTGAATCCATACATCCAAAGCCAGGTTATTCATCAGTTTCTTAACTAATCATTTTACTTCTTTAGACTCTCTTTACTTTTTTATAAAACCACCTTAAAATCAGACATTCATTTCTGCCAGGTAATAGTATCATCTAGTAGTAATAGTAAGATTTTGGTGAATTAACAGATTTAAGAGAGGAAGTGCTAACACTACTGACTTCAACTGTATATGAAGTCTGGAAAGACATTATTGTATTGTGCTATAAAAATGACCAGAAAGGAAACTTTTATAAAACTGAACTGCAACCAGGGCACTGCAGGGTATTACCCACAGGGGAAAGAAATGTATTTTAAGAGCAAGAGCCCTAATGACCTCAATGAAACAAATTATGCCCTCTGGATGAGACACAGATTCTTCAACTCAAGCATTTGTGTGCATGTCACTCTCACATTTTGTCTTTGCCATGCGCTAGTATACACTTAATGTTTAATTTGACCATATCTATAGGGTTTTGAAAAGGAGTCTTCTTAGTTACAGACATTCAGATAAATTCCTGTCCATGGTGAAAAAATATAAAATAAATATACTGTCCTTTAAAGGTACTTGGAAATAACAAGGGATGGAGAGGTGGTATTCCAAAATACTATGGTATTATGAAATATGTTAAACTGCATTCACAATCTTTGATGTTTATGAATAATCAAATGTTTACAGGCAACAAAAGTGGGTCTCTTTTTGGAGCGTTCAAGAGTAAGCAGAAGAGTCCTTTCCTGTGATTCATTTCTCTAGGTTTACTTTTGTCATTTAGTTATGTGATTAATGAGTAATGTTCACAGTATCTCAGTGTAATAGGACTGCCTTTTCCAACCAGACAGATGGCTTTCACATAACCAAACGTGCAGCATCTGCAGACTCAGACACAGAAGAGTGTGCTGCTCTAGGAAATGAACAGTTGTGAGATCCTTCAGCTCTGGACTAGAAAACCTCACCTGGATACACTACATACTAAAATAATGTTCTCTTCTTTTCTAAAGCTCCAGGAGCAAAATGGTTACATTTCAATGCTCAGTTTAAGCATATTCATTATATTAATAATGAATATTAGAAGGGTCATTAAATATCAGTGTAATTAAAATTTGAGGAAGCCAAAATGCATTTTTAAATTTTTTATCATAGAATATTCAATGCTGTAATGCTGTAGGTGTCATCCCCAAATTACTTCTTTACTATCAATCACACAAAGGACTACTAGCCTAGATTCACAATACTGTATGTGTAAATATTGAACTCTACAATTAGTGCACCTTAAATGTACAGGTTTCCATTACAAGCACATCCCTCACTTTTGAGTACAAAAATGTGAGACAAAAAATGTGAGTACTGAAAGAACATGGAGGCTTGTGTTTTAGATGTTTCCAGAAACATGTGTGTGTTACTGGTGTCTGGTAACTGTCCCTCTGATGTGAGAACAATAAGACGTCTCTCATTATTAACTCTGATTTGGTAATGACCCTTCGCTCCCATTTTTCCCCATGTAAACAGTCTGAATTGCAAAACAGAGGCACAGGAGACCTTTTTATAGGAAAGCTGTGTAGAAATTGATTGCTGAGGATGTTGCTCTTCATTAAGTTTTATTAACCTTAGTAAGCTGTTGACTTCTTCTAAATGCCTCCAAGTAACAACCTATCATGTGCATTTCTTCTCTACTCATCACGAACTCTAAGAACAATTCGACTCGATGAATGTTGTGTGACCACAGTTCTTGCAAGCAGAACACGCGGCCGAGCCATTTCCTAATGAAACCTCCCGCAGCACGAGACGCACGGAGCTGGGAGTGGGGGTTTCGGGTAGTGCTGCCCACTGGCTCTCGGTGGTATACAAGCCCCCTGGGGCATCCAGACAACTTACATAATCATCGTAGGGCTCATGCGTCGCTGGCGGCAATGGAGGCCTGTACCCTGGAGCTCCAGACGCCCCACGAGCCCTGGGGGCGGGCACGCCTCTGGCCGACGCAGGCACTGGCAATGACGCGCGGGTGCCAGGGGCTCCCCTGGGTGCTGTAGCCCCCCTTCCTGGAGGGGGCGGAGGGACAGCTCCACCACGACCCCTGGAAGCAGAGACGGTTGGAAAATGTGAGTCCTGGTAAAACGGCAGGCAGCTGGAAAGACCATTGAAAGCCATCGCGTCCTGTGTCTCTGCCCAGTGAGCTTTAACGTCTTTATTTACAATGTGATGTTTTAACACTGTGACAGAGATAAAGGGTCTAAACTGACCAGATCTGTCAAGACGTGTGCACATGTGAATTCACAAAACAAACTCCAGCCAGGATTCCAAAACTATGGTTAAATGACAAGATCATACAGGATATTTCACTTTCCTTCTCCACACTTAATGCCATCTTTTGCAAGACCTGTACTTTTTAGCATTGACTGCAGAAGCAATCGGCTCAGTCACCTGTCTGCCAAAGTGCAGCAGAGACTGAGAAATAGACACCCTGTCAGGTAAAAACCCATAAAAACATAAACATCTTATCTATGCAGCCTATCCTGACAAGCTGTGGGTACACCAGTCCATCACAGAGCAGACGAGCACAAACACACACTCACACCAGGCCCAGTTTTCCCAGAAGTCAATTAACCCACCAGTATGTCTTTGGACTGTGGGAGAAAGCCAGAACACTCAGAGGAAACCCATGTGAGCATTAGGAGAACATACTCCACACAGACAGCACCCCAGGTCTGGAATTGAACCCAGGGCTCCAGCACTGTGAGGTAGCAATGCTCACCACTGCACCACTGTGCTGCCCTTCCTTGAAACAGTGTTAATTGTTATTTCTTTTAAATATCTCAACAGTAGATATTAGTATTGGTACCCCTGTTTGAACAATTCACCTCAAGTCAATGGATGTTCAAACAACATAAAAAGTATGTAACTGTTAATCAATAATATTTATAAATTAGTGAATAGGATTATTTAAACCGAAGGGTGACAATACATTTCCCTGCAACTGAAAAGGACAGCCTTTAGAAAAATGCCTTCACCTTCTCCAACCGTGTCATGGTTATTAAATGTCCTGCTGAATGCATCACAAAAACAGAAAGCACAATCATAGTATTCGCATATTCCATTAAACACAGCAATCCTATTAGCGTTAAAAAAACACTTACACGCTGTATAGATCAGAGAACACAAACCATTCTTGAGAAAAGACTGGATGGTTTTCATGGAGACACTAATCCATAGATGAATAACATACATATTTAAACAGCTGTCTGTGCGTGTTCACAAAACCGTACTGGGAAGGGAGGTGGTTATTACGCAGCATGCTGTGGCTTCTGTTATATATTACCGAAGTGTACGGTAGGAATCCAAGGCTGTACATGAATCTTGTGGAACTATTCCAAAATAGCCTTCTATATATAAAGAATACCATGTATGAAGAATCTATTCTATTCTTTAGCAAGCAGTACAAAAAAAACAGGCTCTTCCAGGAAATAAAACCTACAGTACATAGAGACAAAAGAAGAGATACTATTCGTGTAATGTGCTCTTTGTGTAAGAGTGTTTTACCTCTATGACTTAATAGGACACCACATTTTGGATTTCACATTTCTAGCGGATTTTAATGTCTGTATGCTTTACAAATGAAAGCTGGGCCAAAAAGAGCTAAAAATATACTCATCTCTAGGGCTCAAAAGCAGCGAAGAATGCATTTCACACAAAAACATTTAGTCCTAGGGTGCTCTGTGTTAAATGATCCAGCTGGTACAGGCTGCTCAAGAATCTCGGCATTGAAAGGGTTATATCTGTAGGGAGGCTCTGTGGTGGAAGGGATAAATACTCACAGACTCTGTGTGAGCTGTTGGGTCACAAGAGTTCTATTCTCGAACAGATCCACATACACTAGCAGAAGTATGACAGTAGAACTTAAAGTTCTTAAAAAAGAACTTTAAAAAATATACACATTTGTTAAGAAGAGTACTGTCAAGTAAACTACAAACAGATACCAAAAGAATATTTGTCATTTTAAATAATGAAATATCATTTTCTAGAAGTGAGTGCAGTAGATATTTAAATTAACATGCATTTTTTACAGTACCACCTGAAGCGGTGCAAGCTGTTACTGAATCCAACAATTCTTTGGGGATTGTCATTAGAAACATTCAAATTTCTGTGTGCATAAAAAATAGAGATCACAAGCCCAGGACACCAAAATCCTTCACCTGATAAGAAGCTAATGCTAAAAGCTTAGTTTTTCCCCTTTGTAGCTCGATATTTTGTTCTGTATAAAATACTGCCATGAGGCACACTGTAAGGCACAAAACTATAGTGTCTTCTACAGTATACACAGAGATCACTTTCACCTACATGACATTACCACTCTTATGTTGCATACATACAGTATTAGCACCAAAGGAAACATGTAATTCTAGTTATACATGTAAGTTTTAGAACAAATATTTAGGATATTGATTCAATGCTTTTAGAGTAGTTTTGATTAATAGCTCCTTCATGACTGGGTGAGATACATTCGAGTGACTTTGTTGCATAAGCACTAAATCACTTCATTAGAGGAAAGATGCATTTGGGCACAAGTGATGAGATGATTTAACCCGTTGAATATCGAACCTGATGAAACCCAAGAACGATGACTTCTCCGTTGCTGTCAGGTGTTGGACTAAGCAGATTCACCACCAATCAAGTCTTTCTTAGTGACCACCCCGAAGGATGTCTGCAGGTGAACCTCAGATGTGCAGAACAATATGTGAACTGGAGAGGTTTAGTATTTATGCAAATCAATTGAACGACATGCAGCATGTAGGGCTCAAAGACCAGTGAACATTTTGGACCAGGCTCTCTGAGAGGAGATTACCACAAGACTGCAACCTGGCTCAAAGCCTGCATCAATAATGTACAGCTTGTATTGCTTCCCATGATATTCACATGTCCTAAGAGTCCATGACTTTTAAAGTAGAGTACCTGCTGATTATTCCTGTTGATCACAAATGTTAACCACAATCAACACGGGTGAATTTGACTTTGTCAGGACAATATTTAGTAAACTGTCAGTGCTCCTCCTACAAAAAATAGCTCCTGCTATTTTGCATATAATAACTTTGAGAATTAGTTGCAATTCTAAGTTTCATTTGAAGCTCAGTGCATTTAACGACTCATGGGCCTTGTACTATTTACACTGTACATACAAACAGTGATAGTTGAGGAACTAGGAGACAAGTGGTTGTGGATTATGGTCAGTGGAAGTTTTTGAAATGTTTTGTTCTTAAACGTTGTATTGCATAGAGTACTGTAACTCTCCTTGTAAGAAAAGGAAAATAATTACAGTACATTTCGGAGGGTGAGGGTTTAGAATATAAAGACAGTAAAGCCTTGGTTGAAAAGCTCACTCCCAGAGTGCTGAACCACTGTACCCATGTCGGCAAGCTGCTAAGTTTTGTTTTTAAAGAGATGGTCTGTGTTTTTGGAATTAGGATGCTCAGTATACTTAGCATATAGAGGTTACTTAGACCGTTTAATTGTGATCAGTTTTTTTTTTTACATGGAAAAGCAAGCAGAGTGGTCAAAAATAAAACTGGAAAAAAACAGAAGCCCTACCTATTGAGAATTCCTGGATCTTCAAAAAAAATGAATGAGGATTTTGGTTAACAGCCTGAACGAACAATGTTGGACCATCCCTTGTAGGGGCAGTGCAGTACCTGGTTGCTGTTGCTGCAGGGGGCAGGCGAATACCTCGGCCCCGAACACTCCTCCCTCGGCTAGAATCGTCCGATCCATTCAGGTAAGAAAGCTCCCTTAACTGCTCCTGGCGGATCTCATCATTGTAGTCCTTTTTGAAAAGAAACAAGGGGATCATTAACATGAAAGTGGCAGGGCAACACAATAACAGGTGTCATAGAGTCTCCTCTGTTGTGTTACCGAGTCGGCTATTGGCAAAGATGTTCTCGATCCCCCCATGACCTTCTGCTGTTCAAAATAAGTATTACAGCCCCACAAGACCCACCTGAATATTCAAACAAAATTTGAAATTCCAAAAGTCTAAAATCCTCTAATATGATCTCACATCTGAACTACAGTGCAGAACGTAGAACAGAATCCTAGGGCAAAGGGATTATTAGATAAAGTCCGTAAATGGTTACATTTAAAAGAAAATTGCAAGAGAATTATACAACCCTTGAATGTTGAATAAAAGGGCTATTTTCCTTTTGATGTTGTAAAGTTACCATCTCTGAACAAAACTTTCAGCATAATTAGTATTTCATCAAGTTTTGGACAGAATTTCAGTCCGTCTCCACAGTTTTCCTGGTGCGATTCCATTCAGCTGCATTGTAGAAGCTGATATTCTGCCTTCCCTTGAGAAACAGCAGGATAAAGCCCTTGGCTGATTTAGCTATTAGCAACCATATAATCTAGACTGAGTGGAATGGCCTCCCCTTGTTTCTAACCTATCCAACTGCCTACCTGGTGAATGTTAAGAGGTACATGAGCTACAGTACTTCTGTAAGTGACCACAATGTGATTGGCACATACTGTACTGTGTTATAGAGGTGCTTTGCACACACTTCATGTCTTGCTTATTATGCCCTTGCAATGCACTACAAGTTTCTTAAATAGATTGTAACAAATTAAATCTATTTTTTATAGTAAAAGATGTGTCCAAGAAGTACAAGATGTGTCCGCGTCTCTTTCTGATAACGGATAACTTGATAGCAGCTGGTCAGGCAGGCCAGACATGTTCATTGTGACCACGGCACCATTGTGCGCAAATGCTGGCAGGTTTAAAGACGCTCTGTTCATCAGCTGTGTGTGATGCAGCAACCACACAAAGGCCCTGTCTGGCTGAGTGTGACCCTGCTGTGCCTGATGCTGTTGCCTCAGCTTATTGTACTTGCCTGCTTCAGTAATATTTTTTGAGTCTTACAGAAGGCGAGTTCAAAACAGGAGTGACAGTGATTAGGTCACAGACCTTTAAAGTTCTATAATCTCATCTGAAAGGAACATCACTTCAGTTGCATTGACAAAGACATAAACCTGTTCCAGAGACATTGAATCCTGCCCATTTGTGTATGCCTTCTTTTACATTGCAATTTATAGTTCTTTAACTTCATGCAAGCAAAGGAGTCATTTGTGTCAGTTCCTGTATATTGTAGTAATTATCCAATATCAGCACTGAAACTTAAAATTGAGATAGTATAGATGATAATTTGAGAAATTGTCAATTTCAGCCTTTTATGTTTTCAAGCTGTGCATGGAAATGTCTTTAAAAACCTGTTTAAGAATTCCAAATCCTGATTTTCAAACTTGATATTTTTCAACAATGCATTTTTTTCCCTTGTGGTTCTTTTGTACAATTTCACATCCTTTACTGCTTTGCTCTTGAAGGACAGAAATATACAGATTATGATGGTTTGAGTAGTATCACTCCCAAAAGGGAAGAATTCTTCTACTCTGAAGAAGAATTAATGATTTGAGCAGACACAATTCCTGCACTCTGTACACAACAATGAACATAAAAACAACTCCCAGTTTAAATCCCATCAAAGGTTACAGTTCTGCCACAGGTGGACCTGTTAGTGGTTGGTAATAATAACATTCATTAATTTTAGGATCAGAAATAAATTATGTCTAAGGTGATCTCATCAGTACTATCTTGTCTTAAGAAAGGCGTCTGTACAAATCTGTGTTAAGCCAGAGAATGTATTACCACACCCGAAGAAAGGGCCAGAGAGCTTATATCACAGCATGGGTAGGATGTTGCCACCACAATTAAAAACAATACTAGGAGGATTCATTCTTCCCCCCAAGGCCCCATCGCAGAATATATAAATCACAATTTTGGTTTACAAAATATTTACAGAGGCACATTTTTAATACAAAGGTAGTTTTGAATATCTCAAGAATTCCGAAACAAGCCTGTCAGAAGTACATTTTTAATAGATGTTCTCCCTTGAACTTTGGAAGTATTATTCCATCTACACAAAAAACGAAGAGCTTCTTGTATCTTAATGCTGGACGTGCGTGTATACGCCACTTTTTAAGAAAAACTTGCCTCAAAAGTTCCGTCTCACTTCATTATTTTATATCAACAAAACCTTTACAGAAAACTTTTTATCAATTGAAAAGTGTTCAACTAGGGCTTCACAAAACCATTTTTAGAAATTGTAGAAAAACTTTCATATGGTCACACGTGTGCTATCCTCAGGGTGGTTGTACATGTCCGCGGTGTAAATCAATATCTACCTTTGATTTCTTCGTAACTTTTAATCATTTTTACCAACAAAACCACAAAACCATGTTATCAATTGAAAAAGGACAACCGAAACTTAAAAAAAAAGTTTTTTTAAATAGAAACCAAGACAATTGATCACAAAGTCACTTTTTATCTGATGACGCAGTTCCGAACTTCCAATATGCATTGATAAGGTAATCAATAAGCCACAAAACAAGACCACAAAAGCAAAAACCAGCAAAAAAAAATATCCCTTGTTTTTACCTTATTCTGAAGCTTGATATATATTCACAGAACCCTAGACTAGCTTTTCTCCAGACCTGGAGGCTATTGAACGTTATTGACTTTGTAGTAAATGTTTGAAGCAGGACCACCAGAAATAAGGTGATCTGATTGGTAAAAAGTGCTGTCATTCATTGTATTTTCAGCCATTCAGAGGCCTTAGGTGGTAAGACTTCCTCTAGAAGCCTCAGGCTGTATTCCGCCTGCCTTTTAGCTGTCAATCATTGACTCAGAAGGGGTAATCAATCGGTTTTTTATCAGTACTCCACACCAGAAGGCAACTCTGAGGTTTTTTTTTCATTGCATAACAGCAGATAAAGGCTCTCTAGCAGTGTCTTAAGGTTTTTATAGCAATTACAATGGTTTTTATTATTATTTTCAATATCTTTATGATCTTTTACTATATGCGTGAAATTTAATTCCAGGTCCAGTCTTCACAAAACATGATGTAGATTTTTTTCTAATAGATCAATTTGTTCCAGATTTTTATCCAAGCTAGTAGTCACCTAGAACAAGGTTTTTAAATCATTCCCAGGACATTCCCAGGCCTAGAATTGAAAATTCTGACCTCTGACCTTTTTTCATATGTTTGTCTGGTGAGTGGACACATTAAGAAATATAAGAAATTTGACTGTTCACACTCAAAGCCAAGAGGGTTAGCTTCAATTTAAGACCTGAACCAGGCTCCTGATATGTTCTGCTGCAGAGATATAACAATGTTTAAGGGGTGGAAATTCCAGGCGGACGTTGGCTAAATGGGTCTCTGCCACTATCGGGGAGGCTCAGTGGCACAGTGGCATTGCTGCCTCACAGCACTGGGGCTCTGGGTTCAATTCCAAGCATGCTATCTGGCTGGAGTTTATACAGTATCTTCTCCCCATGCCAGTGTGGGGTTTTCTTGTACGGTCCAAAACAGATGGGTTAATTGGCTTCTGTGAGTGTGCATGTCTGTGTTTGCGTCTCAGTCCTGTGATGGATTGGTGTCTTTAATACAAAGTGTTTAAGTCCTTAATAAAAACGTCTGTTTTGTGGGACAAGCCAGAGCAACCCCTCTTGGGTGTGCTACCATACAAACTCCTGACTGCAGTCAGCTTGAGGCATAGATTCGATGCCTGACATCAACCTGGCCACCCTCAGATAGACACTTTGTAAAACTTTATTAGTACAATCGGCAATAAAATAATACACAATGATGTTTTTTTAACTCAGAAATGGCAGCAGTCCAGTTAAGTTATTGAGAATTCCAGGGCACTTGGCAGAACCAATTTTAGCTTAATTCAAAAGGCAGTCAGGTGCAACAAACACAATTTAGTAATTCAGACACTCCAGTGCTAATGTATAATGAGCTGAGAGTCTATGATATACTTAGTTTACATTAAATACCTACTGAGGCTAAGTAAGCACATAAAAGTTAGCCAATGTAAAAAATGTTTAATTAATACTTATTGCTTGGTAGGTTTTGGAGTACATTTTAAATATGGTTTTGTTTTTGGATTTTATTCTATACAGGAAGAGTTTTTCCATTAAATGCCAATTAAAGGGCAGAGACAGTCTAGAGTCTCAAAAATGATCATTCTTAAAATAGTGTACAGGCACCACAGTTTTAAATGAAGACTTAGTTCTGAGTAAATATGATAATATAATATTCTAGTTTATCTCCAATATCTATACTCTCGCAATAGGAGAGACATTGGCAAGGTTTTTAACAGTAAAGCATGGAGAATTTGTAGTTTTTCAGCATTTCTACAGTGTAATTATTATAAAATCCCTGACGGGGAGATTAAAAAGAGAGAAACTGCAATATCCACAGGTAGCTTCCAGTGATTAAAAGCACTGAAGAGCTGAGGCCTCACAGACCCAGAGCAAAAATGCAATACAAAAACAGCTGAAAACTAAGGGCTACCAGTAATACATTTTCCTGAATGGAACAGTTTCTTAAATATGTTTTGTCTTAAACTGAATTGGCTGTTAGCAGCACTGTTGCTCAGTTGAAAGGGTAATTGGTCCTGGTGTGAGCGTGTCTCAGCCCTGCAGCCCTGTGAAGGACTGGTGTCCTGTCCAGGGTGTATCCTGCCTTGCTCCTATTGCTTGCCAGAATAGGCTCCATCTCTGTCGTGACCCTGAATTGGATGAAGTAGTTAGATGATGGATGGATGAAATGGTTGTTTCCATTCTTTCACAATGTTTGACAGCACTAGATCGAGGTTACGCTACTGAGCATAACAGTTTTAATATCATTTTTGATAGCAATGAGGTCTGTTTCTGAGTTTAGAAATCTGTGTCAGCTTTGATCCCTCACTTACTCTTTCATGCATATT